TAGATAGATAGATAGATAGATAGATAGATAATTCAAATATCAAACGTTCTTTCAAACACTTTCTCGAATTCTTCTATTCTTCCCAAAGGATAATGATGTTAAGTTCTTCTTACATACTTATAGGGTACAAACTGCTTCCTTTTACCTTGCTAAAAGACTCTAAAAGTAGGGTAATGACCTTTAGTACATTCTGAGACTATCTGCTGTAAAAATGGAAAATTTTTTGCAAGTATTGGAGAGGTGAGGGGATTCTTTAAATGTGTCAATTATACCACAAGCACAATCTCTTAGTTTCTTCAAATCTATCTATCTGTATATCTGTCTTTAGATCTATCTAAATTTGTTTATATCTTGCTATCTAGCTCACTTTGTATCTATCTCAGTCTGTTCATATCTATCTATCTATCTATCTATCTATCTATCTATCTATATATATATATATATATATATATATATATATATATATATCTGTTTGTTCTTATCTATCCCACTATCTCTGTCTGCACAACTCTGTCTCTTTCTATCTCAGTATTCTCATATCTATTTTAGTTTATTCATATCTATCTATTGATCTCTGTTCATATATATCTATCCCAGTCTGTTTATATCACATTCTTGCTCTCTTTCTCTCACACATTCTCTCTTTCTATCTATTTCAGTTTGTTCATATCTATCACTCTATCACAGTCTGAGCATCTCTGTCTTTTTCTTTCTAAGTATGCTCATAATCATTTTAGTTTTTTTACATATCTATCTATCTATCTATCTATCTATCTATCTATCTATCTATCTATGTCATTTCAAATCTAGTTTGTTCCTATCACACACATGCTTTTCACACTTTCTTTCTCTTGCTCTCTCTCTCTCTCACACAAAGACTCTCTATCTATCTCTGTTTATATCTCTCCCTATCACTCTATCTCTCTATCACTTTATCACTGTGAGCATCTTTCTCTCTTTCTATCTCAGTATGCTCATATCTGTTTAGTTTGTTCATATCAATCTTATCTCTTCATATCAGTTTATATCTATCTATTCCAGTCTGTTCATATCACACACTCTCTGTCTCTCGCACAATCTCTCACTCACTCTCTCTCTGTCCATCTAATTATCTATCTATCTTTCGTGCAAAAAACCTTCCTCTATTTTTAGCTATTACCATTTCTCATTAATATTCAGCAGGCATTTTACACAATATGATAATCAGGTATAAAGATAACTTAGAGAGAACCACCATTTCACCTGTAAAAGAAGCTATATCAATAAGTTGAAAATTATTAGAATTTTCAAATGGTTTAAAGTCACCAAATAGACGAAATGAAGCAAGTTCAAAATTTTAGATGACTAGTGTCATCATAACAGATGACAGAAAATGTGGTACAGAAATGGTGAAGGTGAATTAGAATATCAAAATATGCCTTCCAGAAATTAAACAGAGTATAAAGAGACAGGAAAATCTCATTAGAAACAAACAAAAAAGTGCTGAACTGCAATGTAATATCAATCCCTGTACATGACAGTGAATGGCAGACAATCTCGTCATACATGTAGAAGATTTGAAGCAACAGAGATGTGATTCTGCAGAAGGATGCTAAGAATACCAAAGATAAAGCATGTGAGCAAAATGGAAGTTTAAAAAAATGGGATCGAAAAGTACATTGTTAAAATACTTACCAGATATTTAAATTTCTGCATATATTTGATTTGCTATTCACACTTTGGATTCATCTTTTTGCTAACAACCATGCATTTTGTCTTCTTCCAGTTGATGTTTAGTCCTTCCTTCTCACTTTCTATCTCTACCTTCTGTAAGAGTTTCATTTCTATGTCTCCTATCAACACTTTGTCATTTGCATATCTTATGTTGTCAAGATTTTGACTTTCAGTAATGAATCCTGGTAGTACTTCGAGTTCTCTGAGAATCACCTTGCTGCATTGATTGAATGAGTCAGGTAAGAAGACACATCCTTGTCTTACACCCCCTTTTCTATTTTTGTATATTTGTTGAACTCATTTTCTATCTGTATGGAGGTAGTTTGCTGCTTATATAAGTTCTTGATTACTCTAACATCTTTCCCAAATATGTCAAGGTTTTTGAACAGTCCCAACAGATCTTTGTGGTGTACTTTATCAAATGCCTTTGTGTAATCTATAAAACACAGGTACACATCCTTCTGCATTTGTATTGCTCTTTCTGATAACATTCTGAGCATAATTATTACATTCCTTGTTCCAGTGTCTTTGACAAACACACACTGTTCTTGTCATCTTTCCGGTCTGATTTTACTGTGTGCTCTAGTCATCAGAATTCGGATGATCAGAAAAATATCATTAGAAACAAAGAAAAGAGTACTGTTATGTAATATCAGTCCTCTTATATGTGAATGAATGATGGACAATCTCCTCACATGTGAAGAAGAGACTTTAGGCAACAGAAATATGGTTCTACAAGAGGATTCTGAGAATTCCATGGACAAAACATGTGAGCAAAAATAAAGTTCTAGAGGCAATGGTAACAAAAAGGAAACTTAATACTTAACATCAGGAAGATAGCATTGAAATTTCTATAGTACATGAGGAATGAGGGCTTAGAAAATTTGATACTCATGGGACATACTTGAAGGCAAGAGGGATAGAGAAAAACAATGCATAACATACCTGGCTAACTTGAATAAATGGATGGTAGAGTAGTGTTTGGGAAAGATGGTAAAAAGATATTGCGAGATTCAAAGGATAGGAAGTTGTGAAGGGCAATGATCAGCACATAGAAGAAGAACTTATCCTTTCCATTTTTTTAAATTTTTTATAATAATGTGTTTATCATTAAATATTTACCTTTCTTGTAGGTAGCAAGCATTCTAAGCATTTTAGGCATTTGATGAAAGTAATATTTTTCGTAATGATTTTTATATATTTAAGGTTGGATAGTATTAAATTTTGTTTACATTTTTTATTTCTATTTTGTTGGATGGTGCTTTTTTATATTTTTATTTTTTTATTTTAATTTTTATTTGAGTTGTTTTTTTTTTCATTTTTTTTCTTTCTTTATTTCATTAATTTTATTTTTTAAAAATTCTTTTTTTTTAATTTTTATTTTTTTTTCAGCAATTTTTGAGGTTCTGTTTCTTCCGTTACTTGCTTGCAGTTTTTTTGTTTTTTTTAATGAAGGCAACCAACACATGGTATGGGGTGTCATTTCAGTCTGGGATGAGTAAGATGGATGGCTGGATGGATGGATGGACAGATGGATGAATAGAGAGGAGAATATATATGGGGTGTGGTTATTGCTAGACTTGTGGGGTAATGCTGAAGAGTGCACAAATAAAAAAAACTTACACAAAAAATTTTTATTTCTCATACATTCAGATACACATTCATACATGCACATACCCATGCACACAAACATGTGCTAGACACATTCATACACTTACTCACACACACAGAGAGAGAGAGAGAGAGAGAGAGAGAGGGTGCGATGGGTAAATTGTCGCCAGTTTATATTTTTAATTTCATGCATGTGTATTGTTTGTTTTTGATTTTGCTGTCTGCACAGTATAGTAGGGTCAGTTGGGCATCATCTGTGAAAAAAGAGCACCATGACACAATTTACTCCACCAGAAATTTGGAAACAGCTTGCTGTACTGTTTGGCATTCATGCCGGAAGCTCCAATACACACATTTCAGAGTATTTGGATGTCAACCTGGGGACAGTTCAGCGGATTCAGAAAGAGTTGGATGAAACTAATGGTGATTACAATGGTGTTTGGAGTGATCACTAGTGATGGCAACGTTACACCTCCATTCATCTTCCCACAGGGTATCAGACTCAACAAAGAGGCCTACATCAAGTGCCTTGAGGAGGTATTACTACCCTGGGTCAAGAGGGTGGTTGGTGGAAGACTCTATGTCTGATAACAGGACTCTGCACCATGCCATACAAGCAGGAGAACTGAATCATGGCTCTCAGACAATTTCTACAACCACATCACCCCTTACATCTGGCCACCTAACTCCCCAGACTGCAGCCCCATTGATTATTATGTGTGGAGTGCAGTTGTGTGAGAGACCAAAAAAACTCCTTGTAACACCAAAGATGAACTGAAAGCAAGGATTATGGCAACATTCACCAAGGAGACCATCCAGAAGAGTTTCAAGAGATTCCAAAGTTGTCTGGAGGCCATGATTGAAGCTAATAGTGACTTTATTGAATAAATTTACACTTTAGTATTTCAAAATATTTTAATGCAATTTTGGTAAATATATCTGTTAAAATGAGATGTCAGTGTTATTTCCATTTTTGTGTAATTTAGATAACAATTTACCCATAGCACCCTGCACATATTCAGATTTGTTTGCTCCTAAAAATAGATATTAACAAAAATGAATATATCTTCTTCCTCTTCTATGTTCCATGTCCGTTCAAGGCATAAATTATCATGACTCTCCACAACTTCCCATCCCTTGTGACTAAAATGTTATCAGTTTTAGTGTGAAAACATTGATTCGCATAATAAAATAGTGTAAGTCCACAACCTTATGATGAAAATTCATTTATTTTGTGCAACCAATGCTTATTTCTCAACATAATCTCCTTCTTTTTTAATGGTTAATAATATTAACAGATTGAGCATTATGTAGTGAAAATATCAGATCAAAATGCAGTTAATGTTAAACTATGTACTTATTAATTATTATTTCACCCTCGCATATATATGACTCTGAGAGTGATGCCTTCAAGAGTTCTAAACACCTGGTAGGGCCACTCTTGCTTGCAAGGTTGAAGTTTGGGACTAAGCCCAGCCATCCCCAAAGGCCCCAACAGTGGAAAAAGCGGATAACAACTATAACAGGTTACAATGTTGAACCAGTGGATAAAGAGGGCTACACATGTCAGACAAGCTACAGTAGGCACCAGCAGTCCATTGCAGTTTCATAACCGGATTCTGTATGTCTCATTCCATATGTGTTGCAGAGGAAGGTCATGAAATTAGGTATGTGGGTCAAATCCTGGCAAGTTGATAGATAGATAGAAATAAAGAGTGATATAAAAAGGCTGGAAGAGAGAGAGAGAGAGAGAGAGAGAGAGAGAGAGAGAGAGAGAAATTTGGAAAAGGATACTTCCTGGAAAGTTGATAGAAAAATAGAAATAAAGAAAGAGCGATCTGGGATAGATAGATAGATAGATAGATAGATAGATAGATAGATAGATAGATATTCAACTGAGTGTATTTGCTTGTATCTTTATACATAAAAATGTGTCTGCATACTTGCATGTATGTGTGCATGTGTGTGTAAGTGTGTCATATGTTTACTCCTTAATGTTTACCTTAGTTCAACAATGAAGTGAATACCAGCAGACAAAAGCAACAAACACACAGAATGTCAGACATTCGAATTACCCCACCCTAACTTCACTTCTAAGCTAGAGTGCCACTTGGGGACAACAAAAATTGAGAAATGTTGTCTTTATTTTCTGGCTCACCCAGAATTTTCTTCTTTTTCTTCTCCCTTTTTTTTCTGCTTAAATTCTTAGCTCTTTATGGGAACCCCAAATTGAAATTCTAGCAGGAGGGAAACGAAGAACCTGAAATTTCTTTATTGTTATCATGCAAAGAATTCAAGTTAAATAAATGAATAAAATTAGAAATAAAAACTCAGAAGTGTGTTGAGATGAGGGAGAACTCATGTACCCTATTATCTTACCCTAATATTTTTCCACTTCTTCTTTTTCTATGTGACATATCACTTCAGGCCATAGATAATCATGGCTCTCCACAACTTCCCATCCTTTGTAGCTCTTAGTAAGGTTATTCTGTTCATTATCCCTCCCAATCCTTGTTCTGCCATCCATTCATACAACCTTGTAAGGTATGTTTCTCTATCCCCACTACCTTCAAAATGTCTTATGAATGTCAGATTCTCTAAGCCCTCTTTCCTCATTATGTGTCTTAAAAATTTCAGTTGTCACTTTCTGCTTCTAAGAATAATTGTCCTTGGCGTTTCCATATTCCTTCAAACTTCCTTGTTACTCATTGGCTCTGTACATGTTATTCTCAGCATCCTTCTGTAGATCCACATTTCTGTTACATCAAGTCTCTTTTTCATATGTGAGAAGACTGCCCAGTATTCACTGCCATAGTCAGATTGATATTAAATAACAATTTAGTACTCTTGTACATTTACTTTGGAAGGAATTTACCTAAATATTATTTTCATTCAAAAATAATTTCTTGAAACCTTTACTTATGTACATTTTAGGCCACCTTACTTCAGATTTGAAGAGAGAAAACTTCTATAGTGGACAATTACTATGTAGCGAGTTCAATCCCATTGCATGCTCCATAATGCTGGCCTTGTGTCATATTAAGTTAAGCTTAGTAAATACCTGTAATATTTTACAATATCTTTCTTTTTTTAAGATATCACTCCAAGCAAGGCAGAAGTGCCACTAGCAAGAGTAAAGGGGGCGTTTGAGAAAAGGATGGAAAGGATACAAAGAAGAACAGGGATCAGGATCAAGGTATCAGAAGATGTCAATTGACATTACATTTGAATATTTGAAGATTATAGCTATCAGGGAAGCAAGTAAGAGGAAGGGAGTTCCACTATCAGGAAGTGCGAGATAAGAAGTTGTTGGAGCAGAAGAGACAGCTACATTTAACTGTTTTGACAGTGAAAGGGTGGGACTGAGATGTCAACCTAGTAGCAATTTTAAATTCATGCAGTTTGGGAACCAGTGAAAGTAGCTCGTCGGAGCAGTTGCCATGAAAATATTTCTAGAAAAGACAGAGTGAAGCCACAGCACGTCTGTGAGAGTGTGACTGTAGATGAGATTTCCAGATCAGAACCTATCACATTGCATATCCATCTCTGGATTTTGTTGAGGACATCAAGATGAATAGCGGGGACACCAGACCATATATGGCAGCAGCATTCCATGCAAGGACGAATGGTTGATTTGTAGATTTGAAGGATGGACTCAGGCGAGAAAAACCTTCTGGCACGACACAGAAAACCAATTTCCCTTCCAGTAAATGAAGGTATTGATTGAATGTAGTTGTTCCACCTGAGGTCAGTGAAAAGCATGAGACCAAGCAGGTGCAGAGATGTGCTCTTGTGGAGTTGGGCATCCACCAATCTGATGGTAAGCAAGGAGGTTTCTCTATTGTGGGTAAATGAGAGCAGTTGAATTAATTCCACTCATGATCTGCATGTAGTATAATGGTTCTTTTTTTATTTTTTTAAATGTTCACTCAATACAAGACTCAAGAACCACTCAAGATAGAGGATTATGGAATGAGGTTGTTGTACAGGCATAAGTAAGTGCAGATTATGATCATAGACTTGAAGAATTTTTTCCCTAAAGAAGTAGTTCTTGGGAATAACCTGTCTAAGTGGAATTGCCTTCTTATCAATCTCTATCTATAAAAGGCAGGATGTGTGTGTGTGTGTGTGTAACAAATGCACAGCCGCAATTTTCAACGGATTTGCACCAAAATTTACATGCACATGCTCCAAGTTTGGGGGAAGGACAAGACTGACTTTGCATTTCCCAACTCCCATCAATAGTGGAAATAATCGATTTTTTCATGCTTCTACAGCAATTTTCATGTAGTTTGCAGCTATTTTCTACTGGCCAGAATGAGAGCCTATAGCTGGCTGTCACGAAGAGGCAGGGAGATTTTATTGGCCAGCATGAGAGACAACAGCTGACTGACATGAATGTTAACTAGCATACTAGCATGCAAAAAGAATCGATAGCTGCATTCGTCACAAGTGTGAAAAATTTAAATCTGCATGGCACTTTACTCCAGTTGGTTCATTCACTTGCTTAAACTCAACGTTGATTCTGATTCCGCAGACTGGGTTGGATGTGAAAAAGTATTTGTTGTTAACATTCTTTTTTCTTTTGGTTTTTCCAGTTATGAGTCCTTCTTTAAAGCTGATCATTTTGTGTTCATTTTGTTTAGTTCTTTTTTCATAACAGATTTAATGTTTAGTATAGAGCTTAGAAAAAATTCGCAGTGTGAGATAGGCAAGAAGTAAGGCATGTAGCAACATTAGCACGGCAAAGGAGAATGATTAAACTCTGTGGATGTGGCATAGCATGTCCTAGCTGTAAAGGTGTAAACTGTTGGAACTATAAAAATGTAGCTTTTTCTATAGCAATAGTGGTAGTGTAACAATAGGCTGGCAATGCTTCGTCTGTGGGAACAGGGCCGTAGGAATGAAAATAATTCATCCTCCACAAGGCCCCATGAACGCTTTTGAACTCTGTCAAGTCTAGAAAGTGAAGTTTGGATATCACTAGCCCAGATATGGCAGCATAGTTATAGATATTTGTTCCAAGAAAAGGGGAATCAAGGAAGTGAGTTCAAATTCAGGTCTAGTCGATGTTCTCTATCCCAATCATCATCATCATCATCCTTTGATCTCCTTATGGTTCGTCAGAACTCTATTGACAATCCTTTTCACACTCAATGTCCACTCAAGGCATGGAGCCTCCTTGAGGGGATATACATTCATCATGACTGGCAGTATTTCAGGGTCTGATCGGTGGTGATGGAATGTAACTAGTTTGGTTTTTGAGGCATTGAATGTAACCAGCCATTTTTTTTCCACAAGGAAGTTAGTGTTAGATCAGTAGAGAGATCAGCTGCCAATCTCTGATCACCAAGAGTTTTAGAGGCATCTCCGTATATCATCATTATATCATCAACATAGATGTTTACAAATGATCAGAGTATATTCTTTATCATCATCCTTCAATCTCCTTATGGTTTGTTGGAACTCCATTGACAATCCCTTTCCTGTCTAATCCTGTATTGCTGTCCCAGGATCCCCAATGTCCAACTCTGAGTCCAGAACTATGGTGTCTGGGAAAATCAGTTTTCATGAGAAGACACTTCCAGAAGGATGCCATAGGAGTAAAGATGAGACGATTTCCCTGTACGTTCAATGGCTGTGGCTGGCAAACTGTAACCGTTTTTGTTTAAGCTTAAGAAAGATTGGTCTCAGTTATCCGTAAATTGTATGAAGTGTTGCATGGGATCTCCAACTAATGGATTTTTCTAAATAGATTTTGTATATGTTCATCAACTCGTCTTTCAAGATGAGCAGATAATGTCCAAGTTTCTGATCCATACAGTAGGACTAGTTCAATTAATGTTCAAAATGTTTAGACTTTTAAGGAAGGTGGAAGGTTTGAGCACCAAATCTTGTGAAGTTTGTTACATGCATTCCATGCAAGAGCTTTGCAGCTCTTTTGATCGATGTATTATTGAGTGACTTCAACTCAGATGCTTCAGGGAAAGTTGTGATATATTCTGTCTTGTTCACATTGCAATAGAGAGCTATCAGGAAAGAACTATCACAATAGTGCTCTTGGGAAAGGCAAGAATCCATTTCTTCTCTTCATGGCTATGGTTTAAATAGCTGGGTAGATAGGACTCTCTAGACTTGGATTGCAGCTTGTCTGGGAGAAGGTATTCCAAACCAGGTAGAAGACAGCATGAAAACACTTCACTAATTTTCCCAAGAAACTATGTCAGTTCGTTCTTCTTTTCTTTTTATGTACCATGTCCTTTCAGGACGTAGGCAATCATGGCTCTCCCCCTCCCTCTATCCCTTGCAGCTTTCAACAAGTTCCTTCCATCTGCTCCCTCCCCCAGATACAAGTTCTGTCATCCACTTGCTTAAGTCTGCCAGGTATGTCATACATTGTTTTCACTTGTCTCTCTCTCTCTCTCTCTATTTGACCCCTGAGTATCATTCCTCATTATGTGTCCCAGAAACTTCAGCTGCCTCTTCCTGATATTATGTATAAGCCTCCTTCTTGTTTACATTCTCTCTAAGACAAAACCAGAAGCTCTTGAAAGCTATGATCACCTAAGTTTTCAATGAACCTAAGATTAAAAAATGTTTTAAAAATTAAAGAAACAATAACCAAAATTTTTATAAATTTCTTGTTCATTAACCAAATACAGAATCCCTGAGAATTGACTATTTTAGTAAAATTAAACAATTTTTAAAAAAAAATCACTTTTATTTCTGTTTATCATGTTTAATATGTTAGAATGTAAGAAGTGTAGAAATTTTATTTTGTTTATAACTTTATAATTTTTCTAATTTATTTTTCAAATTTTATTACCATTCCCTTTCAGAACCTTTTAATAATGAATACACAAGAACTCATCCTTGTTGACTGGAATTTTTTCTACAGGTTTTCATAAAAACAAA